CTTCTGATACTGTTTTATAACTTAACAGTGAAAGCTGTGATTAAGATGACCTTTGCAGGGTTCGAACCTACCCTCTCTTGGCATTCATTCCCCGGGGAGAAGGCCGCTAATTGAGGCTCCATGGTAGCGTAGTTAACTACTACGCCACCGGGCCACCAGATCAAAGAAGATCAAATATGAAATTCATGATCCCAGCGGCCAGTCTATGAGCAATGCAGAGAATATGACCTTATTTATCATTTCACAAATACAAAGTCAATTTTTGCTTCAAGCTGTTAACTATAGTGTAGTTATTCACAGTATTATCAGTTATAATTGTAAGAAGACTGAGACTAATATCTCAATAGTTATTTTTAATCATAGTCATTAATATCTCTGTTATATAATTCTCAGTATGACTACTGATTAATGATTTAAATTCAATTAATATCTCTTGATAAGTTCAGTTCTCATTAATATAATAACATGTAACTTTCATAAATACAAGATTATTTATACTAGTTTATACATTCACTGTGAGAGACACTCTTCAATGATTCTTCAACTCTGATTCTAGATATTATATATTGACTTTATAGTATGTCTCAAGATTGAATCAAAGACAGAATTAATGTGAAATATGAAGATTTGAATTAAGTATTTAAAGAAGTGTTCAGAATTCGAGATTTTCAATTGATTGAAAAGAAAGATTTAGAGATATATATATATAAAGTAATTATTCACAGAAGTTATCAGATAAGAGTTATGAAATCAGAGTACTGATATATAATCATTTTCACATGATTTTCTTCAAATTAGAAAGTTAGTGTTATTAAAAATTATTATCTGATAGAGTAACTTATCAGCTTAGTAGTAATTTTCTGATTATTTTTCTTTTATTATCTGCATTCTGATAACTTCAGATGTTAAGAAATTTCTTCAGAGTTATAATCAGTTTATAATGAATGTTTCTGAATAAAGTTATAGTAATTGTAACAGAGAGATGACTCTTCAGTAATCTATAATACAATCTATTGATAATTATTTTATAGTTCATCTCAGTGTTTGTATTGAGTTTTTCATAAATTTCATGACCTGAAATCAGATATGAAGAATGAAGTGATTATTTATCATGATTAAAAGAGAGTATTCTGTGTTGAATTATAAATAACATAGACTTTGTGATTCACAGTGATTTCTTGAAGAGTTTATAAATCTTTAATAGAAGTAAAATAAGTGAAAGAAGTGAATTCAGAAGATATGATAATAATTTAAGAAAGATAATAATTTATTTTCAATAACTGATCACTGATGTGTGTAAGAAGAATTAATATAAGAGAAAATAATCTTCTTTCTTAGCTTAGTTATAATTTTAGTACTAACTCAGATTGAATATTATCAATGTATAAAAGTAAATAAATAATCTTGATTAATCTCTGTCATATTTCTTGAAATATATTAATATTATAAAAGAGAGTGTTATCAAATTATGTTATTAGATAATATTATTAAAAATATATTAATATTGTGAATATCAATGTTGAAAAAATATTGATACTTATATATTATAGTGACATGATAGTTGAATATATATATATATATTATTTCTGATATTAATAATTGATTACAACTTGTACAATAATTTTTGAAAACTCAAAATTAATTTCAATTATTAACTAATAGTTACAAACTTATAACTAACTAATATAAAAAGAAAAAAACTTTTTCTACTTATTATCTTTCTTCTCTTTCTCATTCTTCTCATTATTCTTTATAATTCACTTCTTATTCTCATTCTTCTTCTTCTTCTTCTCATCTGAGATGATAATCATTTTAAAATCTCTCTCTGCTACCTTCTCAGAAGAGAGTTCTCACTGCTTTCTCTCAGTCAGATTAATCTGTATCTTAAAATCCCACATTTTCTGATCTGCTGTCTCAGATTTCATCTCAGCAGTAAGCAGATTAGCATGCTTAGAGAGTAGAGCTGTCTTCTCAATATTCTGAATCATGAAGCACATTTAAGATCTGAATAAGATCTCAATTCTCTTCTCTGTCAGCTCCTGCTAATCAATTAGAGAATAGAAGTGTTATTAAAAATTATTATCTCTTAATAAAAAACTTATCAGTTTTGACTTCTTTGTCTTCTGCTTCAATATCTTCTCAATCTTCTTCTATTATCACTTATTTACAGTAATACTCTTCTTCTTTCTCTCTCTCTTCATTTTAGTCTCAAATCATTCTCAGAACTTCTTCTGATCTTACTACTACTGTATAAGACTCTTCACTGTCTTCTTTTTCAATCTCTCATAGACAGCATTATTCACATTATTTCTATACTTAGTTCAGTCTAAATCTATCAGAAGTATTACTTAAAATCATTATCATTCTACTTTCTTACAGAGTCTCTTCAAGGTATTATAACATGTCTTGTGATCTGTCTCTCTGCACTTGAACATCTTCTTCTTCTCTTTCTTCAATCTGTGATGATGCTCACGCGCCTTGATGATCCGCAGAACCGCAGAATATTTGAAGAGAGATGATATAATTGATTTTAATAAGTATTAAAAAGAGAGTGAAGACAGATAATAATATAATAATAATGATAATAATAATAATAATAATGATGATGATAATAGTAATAATGATAATAATGATAATGATAATAATGAAAGAGAAAGTGTATCAGAATATATTATTAACTTATTAAACATAAAGAGATAAAGAAACTATTAACAGCTTTCAGAGATGTATAGAAACAGCTACAATGTTATATAGCAATATTATCTTCATTTAATACATGCACTATTAATATTCTTTATATACATTTATCATATAATCTATATCAGAAATACATGCAGAAAACAGATCTTTGTTATTAAAAAGAATAATTACAGTACTTCTCTATTTTCATATTATAAAGATAAGTTATTCTCATTTCTTTCTTCTCTCTTTTCTCTTCTTCTTCAACTCATCACTAAGTTCAAGCTGATATGAAAACTATTAAAACACTCATAGAAACTCTCAAATTGAAGAGTATAGATTAATCAAATTTTAAATACAGATGAATTAAATTATATTCAATAATACTAATTATTCATTCTCTCTTTAATAAAATAAGAGTTGTATCTTTCTCTTCCTCTTCAAATGAAATATGACTCATAAAAAGTGAGTATTATATCAGATTATAATAATCAATACAGTCTCAGCATGTAGAGCTGTATATACACAGTACATGCTGAACTGAGAGACTGCATGAGTTGCAAACTGACAGTAGTATCTCAGAGAGAGTCATGCAGTGTGAGAAAGCTGCAACTCTCAGTTATATATACAGAGAGTGAATCACTGCAGTAAGTATATATACATTGTATAAAAGTAATGCTTTTTAATAATACTCAGTCTCTGATATTATAAAAATAGAGTGTCTTCATAAGATCTGTTTTTATCAGAAGTCAGAGAATCTTATATTTCTCAAGATTATCTTTATATATCTTATCTATGAAATTGATAAGAAGAATCATTGATTTCAGTATTCTACTCTTGATATTATTCAAGTAATAGCAGAGTTCACTCTGATCACACTTTTTAAGTATATATTTTCTAATTATTCACATTTATACAGATATATACTGATTATTTATTAGATAATATTAAGATAATAACTTATCACAGCTGTGTTACTCTCACTGTGAGAGATATATAATTAATAATGAATATTATAAAGACTCTGAGAAGTAAGTATTTTAAGAGTACTGCAGCTCTACAATCTTGATTTTTTTTATTTTTCTTTTTTATTTTTTTCTTTTCTTTTTGTTTTTTTTTTCTTTCTCTTTTTTTTTTTTTTTTTATTGTGATTTTTTCTTGTGTTTGTTTTGTTTTTTATTTTTTATTTTTTTTATATTTTATATTTTTTTTATAATTAAAATTATATATGAATTATAATCTGTGTTTAGAAAAGCAATAATATTTAATAATACTCTTTATTGAATTTTTAACAAATGAGTACTATGTTAGAA